GGAATGATTTGAAGTTGTTGAGAAATTATTAGAACACCATGTAGACCCTTGCCTCAGTCGTGCCCCAGCTGTACCAGCTCTATCGATAGATTCAGGGCTTCAGTTTCCAAATGTGTTGACCTAACCCTGCACTGAGCTCCTAAAACAAAGCTAAACTTTGCTAATATACTCAGTACGTCCAGTTAACAAAAATGAGAAATAAAAAAGCTTTACAACAGCTGTATAGTTAAAACTATCCGTGGATGCAGTACAGAATTTAAAAAAATCTTATAAACCCACAGCTCTTAATGAGACCTGGACTTGATCAGTGCAATCCTACTTGAAAACTGACTCCAGAGAAATAATACTGGTAATAGACATGTGGTTTGAAAGTGCATGCTTTTGGCATTAAAAGATACAATGAGCAGCTAATTCAGCAGAGATGTTTGTGCTTCTAGACTTACTCATTCAAATTACCACCAGCATTTGTTTCTTTCTACGCAGAATGATATGGGAGGCCAGCGAATGCTCGTGAATAAATGGAGCACTTTCCTCAAAACCAGGCTAGTGTGCTCTGTGCCTGGGAGAAACGGAATTGATACACATTTTGATGAATTAGGTAAATATCCTAGACTGCAACAAACTTAAAACCATCATACAAAAAATATGCTTTCATGATAACACATCTTACTGTCAAATATTGTACTTTTATTCATTAACAGGGAATGGTTGTTAGCATTTTGTTTCCAATGTATATGAAGTTCTATACATATGGAGTTGACTATCATCAATTATGCCTTTACTTATTGCATTATTTCTAAAGATGGCTTTTAAAATCTGCAAAAAATTGTGTAGTATATATGAGTAAAATAGGATTACAAGCAATTAACAAGCAATGAAGTTTCTCTTTTGGGGCTGAGAAAAGTAGTTTACTATCAATAACATTGCATTTAAATTTTACAGAGGATGTGTTTTTGCTGCAAACTCGTGATAACAAAAATCCAGTGATATTTGGCCTCTTCAACACTACAAGGTAAACAACTAGAAGAAATAATAGCCACAACAGAGGAACGTTTGAACAGCCTACTGAAGAGATAGAAGCTGCGTGATAAATATCCCTTAGCAAATATATAGTAAACAGTTTCATCCCTGTTCTGTTCACAGTGGGCTTCCTTGTTAACGTAAAAACTGCTCTATGACACTCAGGGGCTTGAAGTCTCATTGAGTCAGATACTGGATCATAATTTACTTAAATGTTTCTCTGCTTGAAAATTTCCTAGTGTCAAAGTATATGCACTCCTGAATGCTTATAAGAGCAGCCTATCAGAGTCATCTGTCTTCCTTTAAGAACTCCACTGTAATTCAAGTTTAAGTAGATAGCAGCTTAAATTCCTACTAACTTCTTAGCGAAGCCTAAATCGTCAGCTGTGATGTTGCTGGTGGCCTCCTTTTCTACTGCAACCTACTTCAAGCTCAAGCACGTAGTACTTGATTCTTGGAGATCCAACTGTTAGTTTAGGATGTAACTGGTAGAGAAGAGCAGCTGTGCTTTTGCCTCTATTTCTCTTTCCTGATTTTTTTTTTTTTTTTTTTTTTTTTTTAATAAGGCAAGGCAAATCTGGTCCTGCAGGGATGCAGGCACCTAGCATTTCCTACTGGCTCCCTATGCCAGTAGAGAATGGTGGGCACCTAATTACAATGATCTGGATCACCTTCTGGAGATAATTTCTTTGTAGAGAGCACTGATGCTTCTTTAAAAAATAATGAATTGCTTCTCCAGAACTAAGTGAATAAAATTTAAAAGTAAAAAAGATACTTTTATGTGGATTGATCTACACAGAGTGATCTTGGTGATCTAACTAATAACACCAACCAACATTCCCGCTCAATATAAAAAGAGTTCTGTTCATTTCAGTCAGCATTGGATGATTCCCATCTTTCCAAAGTAACAACAGGAAAAATCTTAGAGAAGAAAAATGGTTAACTGTTTAAGTCACTAATCAAAGACATATAAAACCTGAGTTCACTTCACTGCACTTCCTCTGTATTTATAAGCAAGCCTGTGTTCACCACCTACAAATTTTGGGATAACAACACAGAGCTTCCTCAGAGAAATGTTATAAATAAAAATACATTAAAGACTTTGTAAAGAATATTCAACACAGCAGTTATAAGAAAGCATATAGGAAAAAATAAGTGTTTTTTTCCCCTGAACACGGTTGCAATGTAATTTTTAATTACACAATAATACTAGTATTATAAGTACAGAATGTGATATACTGCTTTAATAATGTCTTTGAATTTTACTTCATAGCAATATATTTAGAGGATATGCTATATGTGTTTACCACATGGCAAGTGTCCGAGCAGCTTTCAATGGACCATATGCTCATAAAGAAGGACCTGAATACCACTGGGCTCTGTATGAAGGAAAAGTACCTTATCCTAGACCTGGTTCAGTAAGTACAATCTGTTTTCCATTGCTTTGCTATGTAAGTGAAGTTGGGAAGAAAAAGCAGACTGCTGCTAATGTACAGATCTTCCTGACTTCACAGTCCAGGATATATTTATTTGAATATATACGTACTCTAGCATTTCTGGAAAAGTGTGGAACGGCTCAGCAATAAGTTTAATCAAGTACTAGAACCATGCATTTCTCAAAGGAAAATAGTGGAATTAAGTATATAAGTTTTTTTTCAAAATCCTGTTGGGACTGGAATTTAGCAACCTTGTGTTAAGGATGCTTTCAGACATCAGAATGAGGTTTTATTACCCTCAAAAGAGGTTCCTGAGCTTATTAATGTTCTTGTTCTGTACCCTTTACAAAGAATATAGAAATATTAAAACAACATTTCAAAGAACCAAACTCAGCAAAATCACTCACGCTTTTCGCTAATTTTCACACAAGTTTCTTTACAAATGTCTTTTTTTTTTTTAATGGACATTAAGTGAAGAAAAGAAACAAGACATACTGTGAAAATGCAATTAATCTGGCAACTATTGTAGCATACTGTGCAACTATACAGGTGTTGTCATATAGAGAGTTGTTCCTGTCTGGCACTTAGATTTTTCATTTGGTAAATAGAAATTCTGGAGGAAATCAAACTCATTACTTAGAGACAGGTAATTAATTTCTACCAGGAATTCCTAATTTCTATGTTGATTTCTCAAGGACATCACAGGTAATCTTTATCTCGAACCCTCTTCCTGTTTCACTCTCTTTTCAGGTGTTTCTGACGTTTCTGTCCCTGTAGTATCTTAGCCCCAGACTCTCTCATGCCAGCTCAGGGGGTGAGGAGAGTGGTCCCGCTTTCACTGCCTGTCAGTGCGGCTTGAGGATGCCCTTTGCACTGCAGGGACCCAGCAGCATCTCACAGAAGGGGCACAACCAGGGCCTCCTGCACCTTCCCCTTCCTGCTGCAAGTCAGGCGCCCCACAGCAGGCAACGCCAGGCTAACCGAGGGCAGCATCACATCCAGGATTTCTTCTTCACCCCATACCTTTTGGGAATACAACTACTTACCCACCCATGATAACTGTCACCTGTCGCAAAGCTGCTTTTGTTTACACTTGCTGAAGGTTTTCCCCTTATTATGTCAGCGTTGTGCAGATTTTTGACTCTGTGAGACGCAAAGACATTTCACAGCTGTTTGTCTACCCCCCCCCCCCAGTTTTCACACTTCACCTCTTCATCTTCTTGCAGGCTAGGGGCCCGCTCTCTTGAGCTTAACAGTGGAATAAACAGTTGCTGAAGCATTACTTTCAGTGTTGTTTTTCCTTTGCTGACTGAATCAATATTGTCTTTTATATTAAAAGCAATCATTTGCAGAAATAAACATTGCATACAGTTCATTTATTACTGAATCGCAGGAATGAGAGGCAAGAAGGCCTATTAGCTTATCTAGCCCATGCCAGTACAGTCTTTCTCCTTATAGTATGATTTCGAATGCATGTCTTCTCTTACTTTAAATTAATGTTTTCCTCTGCTTCTCTTGGGGTTAGAGACATAAGTCAAAATGCAGAAGTAGATGCTCCAAAAAAGAGATTATTTAGGATTTAAACATTGTGAATATGATTTGACCATCTTAGCCAATCAGCTATCACTGTAGCAGTTGAGCACTGCTGACATCAGTGCCAAATGTTTTTTTGTTTGTTTGATGTAGATCAAAGTCATTGGTATTGAGTCAGGATACAAAATCAGATAAGTAAATTATCACATTTTGAACAAAATGGTTGAATTCAAAGTAATTATTGGTTTTCTATTTGACATTTTGTATAGTAAATTTACAGTTTTTGCAGCTTTACCAAATAATGAGACAGTACCATGCATGGATTGCAGAATGGCTGCATGTTTTACAAAGATGATATGGTCCAGGCTCTTTAAGTGGTATTCATTTTTTTTTCCAGGCAGTAGAACACCTCACATATGTTATTCGGACCAGCATTAAACACAGGCATGAATTGAGTATTAATGACTACAGTCATTACGTTGGTATCTCCTAGCACCGAAGATTAAATGGTGTTTTTTTGGCAAGAAGGAGAGAACACTGAGCCAGCAGTTCAGCAAAGTTGACAATGATTTACAGAAAGTCTGCCCTAAGTTCCACTCGCTTTCGATGTTTCTCTCCCTTGGCTCTGAATGGCTACATTTGGGTTAGATGGATTGTAGCCTCCCCAACAGGCAAGGCATAGGAGCTGAAACAGATATAAAAGAAGAGCACAAGTAATTTTCCCAGTGTCATGGAACAAGTCAGTTGATGAGCCATGTCTTTCCTGGGTGTTAATCAATTTAATCATGTTTGTCTCTGTATTTTGCAGAGCACGTCAGAAGCTGAAGTAGCTGGCTCTGCCAGCTAACAGAGGACTATGGTTCATTTTTGGCTGCTCATTTAGGGCACAGTTTAGAGGTCTTTTCAACATTTTTCCAGTAGCATGAAGAGATAGCATGTTTCAGGCTGTAGCCCACAGTGTTAGGTTTCACACTCCAAAGAAAAGGTAAGCTTATCGATAAGCTGAATCCCGCTACCTTACCCATCGCAGGAGTGACAGTGACAAGAGGCCAGAAATAACCGACTACGAGGCATCTCTGAGAGTCAGCGCTATTTGATCTTAGCTATTGAATGGGTAAAGATGGAGTCTACATGGAACTAGAGTAGAGCTTAAAGCTAAATAAACAGAAACCCACTGTTAAGAGTCGCACAGCTTCTGACAGGCTCTGCAATCCGCTGCTCTCTGAAGTCTGCTTGAAGCACTGCTTCTGCCATAATCTCTGCTCCTGTTTTACTGATTCTTTCAGTGCATTTAAGCTGTGATGCTTCTGGGAATGACATCGGTTACCTCCAAAATGGTGTTGATAGACTTCAGAGACAGCTGCATCTACAGTTTCCTTACTAGACTACTTGATTTTATTTAATTAAAAAAGAAAAGCCTGTGAAGGATTATTTTTATTAAATCTTTCCAGGGCTAGAACTTTGCAAAGGGAACCTGGCAATGCCTATTCACTTGATATGCTGTGCAGTGCATGGACAGCAGAGGCTTAGCCTGTCTTTGTGCTCCAACTCTGTCTCTTTATTGCAAACAGCCGGTGAAATTCCATCACTAGGTTGATTAGGCAATTACTTTAAAGTCAACACCGAACAAATACTTTCCTGTAGCTAAGCCCAAAAAGTGGAAACAAACATTGCCCCACTTGACAAGTGCAGGAGTTTGTTATTGTCAATTACAGTTGACCACAAGTTTAAAATTACTGTTTCCAGTAAACATAAAGAGTATTTTATTTCATTTCATTGATTGAAAAATCCAATTTAAATAGGGAAAGGCTGCTACTGTGGCTTTGCTTGAAATGCTTCTTAAAACCACACTATCTTATGAATATATGGAGAAAGTAAACGGTTACTGAGATATTTCCAGCTTGATCAAAAATGGTTTCAATTAGACATCATGAAGCAAATTGGAAATGCAGAATCTATGTTCAGCTAGGGAACACTATATCCTCCACAAGTCATCCTAAAATTAACTTCTCTGTTTAACTCATTAAATTTTCCCTAATTGCACATTTGACCAAAGGAGTAAGCCTCTTTTAATCAATCATTGACATAAAGTCTATTTGCTTTGCAAAACAGTAGATTGATCAATGCAAACATTGGTATTTCAAGCTAAATTGTGATATATAATACTGTCATTGTGAGTTAGGAATTAGAATCAAATGTAATACTGTTAGAGTGCCTGAGATCAAGAATGCTGCTGGCATCATTTTTAAGTATGCTTAGTTTCTTATGGTAATACATTTTGCAATCAAAAGTAATAAGACTAGAGATTGATTTCAAGCATTAGTATTCTGCTGACTTTACATGGCTGTGTCTCTGCTGGGATAGGAAACTCCTTTCTCCTAATTCCATCAATGGCAGTTTTGATTACATCTTCAATATGAATTTGGGGAAGACATAAGCACTACGTTTTTTGTCAAAATCTAGAAGTGTCACTATTTATTCTGCTCTCAGTATGCCAGAGAGGAAGGTGCTCCCTTTCTAAACATGACAGTGCCAAGGGTCTGTTCAACATTCCCTTTCTTGGTTTCTCGTGATTAATAATCCACTCTCTCATAAGGCATAAAATTCACTGTCCCAATTCCTACTGTGGTCTTCTGTGCCTATTTTTATTCCCGGTTTTCTGATTTTTATTTCTGGTTTTCTGTAGACTTGTCATTACCCCTGAAAACAAGACCCGTCTCTGACAATTTATTTGGCAAACTTTCAGGATAATCTATGTTTTATGTTTTTGCAGTGTGCCAGCAAGGTGAATGGTGGTCTGTACACTACGACTAAAGATTATCCTGATGAAGCTATCCATTTTGCCAGGAGTCATCCACTGATGTATCAGCCCATCAAGCCTGTTCATAAGAGACCAATACTAGTTAAGACAGATGGAAAGTACAATCTTAAACAAATAGCAGTGGACAGAGTGGAAGCTGAAGATGGGCAATATGACGTCTTGTTCATTGGCACAGGTAAATTAAAGAAAGCAAGGAAGACAATTGATTTAATAGGGTTTTACTTCCAGGATGAATAAAATTAAGTTGTATATAGTCCAAAAATAAAAAAATAAATGCAACATACCTTTTTAACGATCATTCTTTGCATGATTGTGCCAGTCTTCACCTTACAGAGGAGGTTAGTCGCCCTAGGCATGTGCTTCACTGTGCTGATAACATTATATAGAAAAATAATGGCAGGGAAACATTTAAAGACTAGGAAGAGAAAAGCAAGTATAGGATTCCATTGGGGTTTGTTTGGGTTTTTTCTCTCCCCCCATTCCCCCCCCCCACCCCCAAACAAGAACCTTAAATTAAATTCCTGAACAACTGGCCTTATTTTTAAAACTTGAGAACACAATCACGTATCTGAGCATAGTTCTGAGCTGAGACCTGGAGACCTGAGAGAAACAAAGGTGACAAGATTCTCAAAAATATCTGTTCAAGTTACTGGCTTTATTCCACAGTTTATTTCCCCCAATCTGGAGACCACAAGTCTAGCTGATACCATTAAAAAGAAACTGCCCGTTTCCAGATTTGGGTTACAACACAGCTCAAGGAAGGAAGGAGGAAATACCCAAATTTCTTAAAAAGAAACAGAAGTTTTCTGCCAAGTTTTCTTGTCTTTCTTTTATGCCATTTTCATAAGATACAGAGAGCTTTTTTAAAGAGGATTTTAAACATCTACCAAACAAATATGATTAAGGTAAAATATATCGTAGACCTGCCCTAACTCTAAGCAACCAGAGGAAAAAAAACACATTCTAATGGTATTTGAAAAATAAGAAAACTTAAGAAAATAAGAGGAAAGCCAGGAACTAAACAAGACTTTAGTCACATCTAATCTGTCTGGAAAAAATCCAAGGATTCATACATTCACATTTATCAATTTAACAACAGGAGGGGTATCACAAATCATTTTGACCATTTTGTTTAGGAAAGCAGTTACAGTGAATTATTTTTTACTAATGAAATTCCTCTGATAAGCACATTTCAGTGTTGAGAACATTCAAAAGAAGCATGTTTGTAGAATAGCAAAGACTTATTTATATTAGTGCTCTTTTCTAAGCTTTTAAACAGCCTCAGTATGGTCTTGGTATTGGACTTAGTGTGGTCTATAAAACATTGTGCCATGTGTCACTTATTTCTGTATAGCAGACGTTACAATGGTGCCTAGATTTTTCATATTTTCCACTTGCATTTGTGATTGAGATATTGTATCAAATACTCTTGTACACAAATCCTCTGTTCAGCAAAGTTGAATCCAAGGGGCTTAAGTGTGTGCTTTAGAGCCATGCTGGACTGGCACCCAACAGCTGCTTAGTCTTCTCGAGATGTCTAATCTCAGGTGACAAGAAATTCCATCATAGGAATTTGGGCTTTAGAAAATCTAAAATGAACCCTGCAATCTTTGCTCTGGGAAAGCTCCCATCAAAAAAGTCACTGCTTCTCTTCACAATATAATGTTAGAAAGGGTTAATCTTTTTTTATCCAAGTCCAACACCTGCTGTGTAACATAAGTAAACAGGGTCTCACAGCCAAGCAGAAGTTTACTTAGGGTAGCAGTGCAGGTTAGAAAGGTTCATCAAAGGCAAAGTCTGAACATCAGGGTTAACTTTCATGTGTCTGTCAGCAGGATTTGAAGAGGGACTTAGTTATGAAAATCAGAGCTCATAATGTAATTTCTTTTTACTGTTCCATCACAAAATGGGTGCCTTTGATTACATATTCTCTTTGAGAAGTGGTGTATGACCCCAGTTTAATGGTTTCTCTTTACGTTTGCCACTTTGATCTTTTGCTGAACATTTGTCCCAGTACTTGTCTGCTTAATATTTCCCCTGTAAATCAAACGTGACTGAAAGTAACAGAAGAAAGGAAGTGATGTTTGCCATTGTTGATGACAGATTTTCTGATGAAGGAAAGCAAGACTATTCTAATAATAGTCAGCAAGACAAAGCTGAAGTGGTGAAGACCAGATGCTATTCATGTGTTTTGATTTCCTGCAAGAGTTGTAGTGACAGAGAAGCTGACAAATCTAAACTCCAAAGTGCCTTAGACTTTTTGAATGTGCAGCTTTTTTTTGGTTCCTCTTCCTTTGATTAACACCTTCAGATCAACAGCAGCTCAGTGTTTCCATAGAAGAGGGGAAGAACTGAAGACAATGAACCCCTGAAGGTTTTTGTACTCTTGCCTGGAAGAACTGAGCTGCTGCCAGCAATTAAGGCTAGTTAGTAGTTTCCTAACTAGTGTAAAGACTCAGATCCTAAAGCTACTTTACACTCCCTTGCCTTACTCTTATTTCTTTTTCTGAAATACGGTCACCCTCTTTGATCCTTTTGCAGCTCACCAAGGCATTATGACCCAGAGTTTGCAAAATACAAGTCAATTAATCATCTAACTCAGGGATGTCTCAGTTGACTCTTATTTGCCAGGGACAAATTGTCATATGTGTTTATTTTCTAAGAGTAAGAATCCTCATCAGTAACAGCAATATGCAACTACATGCACATATTTATAAATTTCTATCCATTATCAGCTCAAAGAAGTCATTTAATGTATTTGAAGGCCATATAAATGCTTCCACCAATTATAACTTTTAGTTTTGTTTTGTTTTTTCTTTTAAAATTTATTCCCAGATAACGGAATTGTGCTGAAAGTCATTACAATTTACAATCAAGAGACAGAATCAATGGAAGAAGTGATTCTTGAAGAGCTGCAAGTATTCAAGGTGAACTGTGCTATATATGTATATACAAGTCTTGAATTTTTTGCAGAATTAAAATGTCTAAAAAGTCTGAGGATAGTCAAATAATATATAAGAGTTGTGTGCAAGAAATTTTCTAATTATCTAGTTATTTTATGACAGGAAATCTTCATTTTCAACAGAAGTTTTTCTGAGGTGGATTTATAGCCCAAGTACTGAAGTGTATTGCAGCAAATCAGGACTACTGTTTTTCTGTTTACATGCTTGGAGGTTGTAGTGTCACTTTTAATTTGAAACTTACTGCATTTTATTTAATTATTTAATTTGCCCTCATATCCAATTAAGTATTTAAAAGAGTATATCTGTATGCACAAATATGTGCCTACTACAATCTTGGAAGCTTCGATGAGGTCCAGATAAAAAAAGCTCAGTCCTCAGAAAGAGTGAATCAGTTAATCTGTCTTTACAGTGGGCAAACCTGAGTCCTAGTGAGGCAAAACTCCATTCTGCTTAAGAATAACCCATGACTAAAGCTGAGTATTTGGTAGGTAGCAAAGCTAATGTAATGAAATCCTCTTAGTGAGTATTCACATCATGTCATGCTAGCCACATAAAGTAGGAGGCTAACCTACTTGCAACCATAGGGAAAAATTAGCATCCAAACTTAGCTATTTAAACCTGGTACCTGCATTTAGTCAGTGTAACTATTGGCTTGCTGCCGGGGGCGGGGGGCGGAAATCACAAAAATTGCCCCTCTTGATAAAGCTGGTTTTCAATAGACCTATTAGGGGCTGTCTTGCCATTGCTCCAGGAGTCTAAGAAGAGGGCAAAGAGGACAATGGTAAACGAAGGAATTCCTGCTATTTTTATCTTATCTTCAATGAATATTTTGTTGTAAAGAACACTCCACTTATCACTCTCAAGTAGGACAAAAGAGATTCAGTGGTGGAAAGAGCTAATGTCTTGTTTGACAGGGAAATTGTAGTGTTCCTGTGACTCCGATAATGCAGAATTAAGTGTTGGCTGGCTGTTTTTAAATAAACTCTTTTAAAACAATACTTCTGGAAGTCACAATTTCCTTACATCTTTCTGTAGCATCAGAAGTTAAAGAAAGTTAAAGTATCTATCAAATCTGAATATAATAAGTAAACATCAACACTATTTTACCTAATTTACTGTCATAGCAAAAAGATACTCTTTTTTCTAAGCAAAGAAATATTTCCTATTTTCTAGGTGCCAGTTCCTATTATTTCTATGGAAATCTCCTCTAAAAGGGTAAGTATTTGACAAGTTTGAAATGTGAAGATTGTGACTCAAATGTAATGAAGATATAAACTGTATAGAGACAGACAGATACATAGGCAGACAGATGGATGTACATCATCTATAATGGGATCTCGCCTGATACGTGTAATCCTTTTGTAATATAAACTTATGGTTATATGCTCTGTTCCTTTATGAAGCACTTATGTTTTTCAATTCTAATGTTAAATCTCCTTAGTTGACACTATCATTCATATCAAAGTAAGTAAAACCCAATCTGTTTCATGAGTTACTAGCATAGTAATCACAGCAGGGATTAGCTTGGTGGATATGGCACCTCCCAGAGAAGTTCCTCACTGATAACTGCAGACAGACTTCGGCCCCATGGGGATATCAGTGCAAAAAGAGCCTTGCTGGCTCTCCCCATGTATTCAGTTGCCCATGAAATTCAGGGCTGTTTGGATCTGACTCCCTTTCGAGTTTCTGCTAGTTTCTGTTTATATAAACACCCAGTTTATTACTCTTGTAGGTAGATTCTCATCCATACCACATCATCATATCATCTCATGATGGAGCCATTATAAACGTCCCAGGATAGTTATATCTTAATAGATCTTAGACAACTGATGCAATGTAGGTGCACATAAACATAGTGAAACACAAGTAATAAAGAATGAAAATTGCATTACTAGGAGGTGTGAGTGTGCCCCAAAAGATCATTTTATTCTTGATATCCAGCCAACTTGCATTCTTTCTGTAGGTAATGTAGAAATAAAAAGTCTTCTGATGGTGATTCAGAGGAGGAATTTAGGTGTAAGTATTCTGAATTATTTCCTGGATCAATCGATTTTTTTTTTTTTTTCCATGTAAAAAGCAGCTCTGGATTGTCTAACACTGCACCTAAGTGATTATTACGATAAAGACTTCAGCGTCATTTCAGATATTTGCCTTACCCTTAGGTCTCAGTGAAATGTCGTGGTAAAAGGGTTGTGTTGGAAGGGTAAAAAGGAGGTACTGTACAAAAATGAAGTAGTCTTCCTCAATTACATCCAGCTCCCAAGAGGGCTGCTAACTCTACTAATTCAAGAAGTATCTGGAAAATCTGGAGAGAATTGTAAAAAAGTTGACAAAGCAATTCAGCAGTTGAAGAATAAATCTTCTTGTGAGAAGTAAAAGTAGCTTAACTTTTTCAAGATATCAGAGAAAAGACTGAGAGAGAACAGAAGAGCCAGGTATAAAATTTTACCCCATGAAGTGAATTCCTAGTGTATGTGTATAGGGATTCTTGAACATTGATGGCAAAGCAATATCAGGATTAAATAACCAAGTTCAGCTTGTTGAATGTAGATAAACTTAATCTGGAAATAGGATGCAGTTTCCTGTTACTGAGGACAATAAAATGTTGCAATACATGTTAGGGGTGGGGCTGACACCAAGTCATTTCATCTTTAAAATGAGATCTGTAAGCAGAAGTAGAACTTAGTTGAGTTTATGTGAAAAAAGTTACATAGCTTCTCTGCTCGAGTATTTTGGCTGGTCTCTTTTGAGCTTGGAGTTTGTGAGCCTGTGGAGATCTCCTTGCGAGCTTTGTCTCAATATCTTTATAACACTAACCAGTCTTCACTAAGCCAACAGTGCAATAAAATACCATGTTTCAGGGCTGAGCTAGTTATCTGCAAAAGCTGGGAAGGAATGTTCTTCTTTGATGTTCAGTTGACTAGGTATCAGATTATTTTTGCCCTCCTCTGAAGAAACCAAGACTTAGGGTAGTCTTTACCCCTGCTAATAGATGAAAGAGAAAATCCCAACTCGTATGTCTCATTGAGTGTTGTTCATGTCTCTGGGACAATCACACCGCAGCCTTTGCAGACAAGAAAGAATTCCCCTCAAACAAGGATCCTAGGTTTCTTCTTCATTCCAGTTGGCAGACTGAGTTTCTGCTACTATCATCTGGTTTACCTCAGCAAGTCTTCAAGCATTACTGCTACCAGCCTCTCCTAGTTTTAAATTTCATGCTTTGTGATAGGCAAGCCAGACTAAATGAAATGCCTGTATTTTTCAGCTTTAAGAATTTTAAAATATCAGATTTTGAAAGCTTGGTCTAAGGGTGGGAATTATAGACTAAGTTTGGCCATTAGGATAAGCACAGCTTAAGTGTTCATTAGGAATTCTTTTTCTAACTGGTAAATCCATGGAAGTGAGGTGTGCATAAGCAGTTCCTATTGCAGTGCACACTGCATATTTCTGTGTTCACTCCATTTATATTCACCAGCAGCAAGATTTTTCCTCAAATCCCTGTAAATTTAGTCTATTGTCTTCTGAATTTGTTATGCCAGCAACTCATGAATCAGACTGATCATCTTTCACTTGATTTGAAAAAGATATTTATGTGAACTCAGAAGATTCAAACAGGCTTAGCACTAATGCTGAAAAAAAACCCAGTCCCCTATGAATAAATATTTAAGTAGCTTGTGAGCAGTTAATTTGTAAGGAAAGACTGCACAGTACCAGGGGAAAAAAAAAAATCATCTCTCTCCTGTGCACTGAGGGATAGTACAAATCATAGTGCTCCTGTGCATGTGTATATGTGTACCTATTGTAAGTAGCCACATCAAGAATTAAATTTACTTGATAACTCCCATTTTAAGGTTGAAGTTGCTTATAACTTTTGCAGATTTTAACTTCTTTGTTTAAAGTATTTCATGTCAAGGTTTTTTTTCACAGATCAGTTAGGTGACAGAGAATTGTAAAGAGGGAGGCATTGGAAACTATCTTGAGGAAGAAAAAGGAAGTCAAACCCCTGCCTATTCAAACACAAAGCTTGCAAAGCTGAAGCTTCAAAAGTGAGGAAATGCCAAAATAAACTTGTTCATTTTACCTTCTTTCTCTCTGTTCTCATGCAGCAGAGTTTAGTCTGTAATCAGATATTTTCCTACAGAGCAACTCTGCCTCCCTCAGGGCGCAGGCTGGATGCACAACTGGCAAGCAACACTAAAGCTAACATTTTTTAACAACTCCACTGGTAACAGAAGTTTTAGTGGAAGTTCTAGGAATTCAATCTTACATGGTGTACTTTTTTCCAGCAACAGCTCTACATTGGATCTGAGTCAGTCATAGCGCAAGTGAAGTTCCACCAGTGTGACATGTACGGCACCGCCTGTGCGGACTGCTGCCTTGCTCGAGATCCGTACTGTGCTTGGGATGGGATCTCCTGCTCCCGATACTACCCCACAGGAATGCAAGCAAAGAGGTGAGAACAGCTTTCCGTGATATCCTTTTTGCAAAATAGCTACTCCTACAGAGTTCCTACTGCAACACAAAGTACTTCATAACTCTTCTTCATAAAAGTGACTGAGCAGTAAGAAGATATGTTAGCTGTTAATTTATTAGCGCAACCTTAAGGGATTGTAAAGGAACCAAATTAACAGGATGGCATAAACTGCAGTACCAGGAATATTTTTATGAATGAAGCAAAGTCACTTAGTAGTTATTTGCAGTAGGTTTAAAATAAACCTCAATTTCCTCATACATCTTTTGGTGTGCAGAGGAAAGATTCTTTGCAACACCAGAGACCTATTTTTATAGTATTATAGAGCAAATATATCACACTACAATAACATATACAACAGAATTTCAAAAAAAAGCAAAGAAGAATCTGTGTTAATAGTCAAATATCAGCCAAAATGAAACCAGAGTGTCTGCAAAAGCTAAAGTTCGGCTTAGGCTTTCTCCCATGAATTTATAAAGACAAGTTACTCTAGAGGCCAGTTCAAAGTATGAGCCAAATTTGGGTGCTTTAATTCTTTCCTTGGGGAGACGACTACTTTCTATCACCATTCACTTATTCATGGCTCTTGGCCTTCACTCTTTGTGCAGTAATTTCCCATATACCTGTTCTCTTCCCTTCTCTCTCAAACCCAGGTTCTCTAATTCAGCTACACAGGTACTTGGTTAAGCATCTAGAACATGCATATTTTAATGCAGACCTTTTCACAAGACTTTGAGTCAGCTTCACCACTAGAGAGAGTAATTTCTAGCCTTAGTCACCAAAATTTGGTAATGTATAATTCAAATCCTTTCTGTGGCTTTTTTACAATTACTGTTTCTGCAAATATATGCTTATATATATTAGACCTACATGGACTGCAAGGATTAGAATGAACTGAGTAACTTCTGGAGACAGTTTTGAAAGCCAATGGAGATCGTTCAGTCAAAACCAAGTCACAGTATCCCAAACTGATTATTGTTTCCTAAGAAAAAAAATGAAGGGTGGGTTTTTTTCTTGTCCTGTACACCTTATCTTTCCATGAACCCAGATGCACTCAAACAAATGCACTCCTGACTATAGTCAGGCACAACAGACATTTATCTGGATTTTTCTAAAAGATAATAAACAGAGAAAGCATTGGGTAACCTGGCTTTTTGGATAGGGAACATTAAAATGTAAAAATGAGAAACACAGCCAATGACTCAGCATAATGAAGAGTCTCTCAGACTTATTACACTAAGGCATAGGTTAAATCACCTAAGAAATCTACACCACTTTTACAAGCAGGATTGCATAGTCTTCTCATGCCTCTTGCAAGCAGACCTAAGGGAGGAAGTAGGCTCTTGTTGTCTGCTCAACGTGAGAAGGATCTGGCTAAAATTTTCCAGCCGCACATTAAGAAAGATGAGCAGCTATATAGTGGGCCAGGGAGATTAACTTCCTACAGTATAAGTAGAAATTGGATTACTGTAATTATAAAGCATATGGGTTACTCATCTAATGATGTAAAAGTAATCTGGGGGGAAGAGGGGGAGGTAAAGATTTCCCAGCAGCCTGCTAGCACTGTGTCAGCATTCATGTTGTTCTGCAGGCTACTTATTGTCTAAGAAAAGATAAGAGAAATTCAGTCAGTCCTGAACTCTGTTGTACATTTCTAGCATATTTCTCACCTAAGACAATTTCCAGAGTAGCAGTCCTTAAGTCCCCTGACACACACATTTATCCAGGGTTGAGTGATATGGGCAGCACCCCAGGCACCTTCCTGTGCCTTACCTCCCCAACATTCAGCAGGTCAGTCTCTAAAAGAAGAAAATACTGCCGTTATCACCCTCCTTCTCTTAAGATAAGCACTGCAGCAGTGAAGGGATTTGCACTCAGTTGAAGGTTCTTGAAGTCTGCAAAACTTGTTTTACATGTAAGAGTTTGGAGAACAGTCCGCAAGAACTAATAATGTTGAGAGGGACAGATGGCATTTGCTTTGTTCACTTTAGCTCATAGCTGAATCTCAGAGCGTTTTAAACTTAGAAGCTTACACTAACTGTGTGGTACATAGAGACGCAGGGAGAGCTGCTCAGGACGTGTATGGAAGTTGTTTTAAGTTGCCTCCTGCTGACTACCAGGTGGAAAGCACTGCTGGAAAAGGCAGGTCTCAGTAGCCAACATGGAGTTTTCTGATACCAAGTGACCCTGAGCAGGCAATAACCCTGCCATGGCTGCCCTGGGCTCCAGGCACAATTAATGTTACATCCCAGAGCATACACATCTTGATTTGATGTTGTCTCAGGGCTCCAGATTTATGCTCAAGCTGTACAGGGTAGAACAAGTAATATGAGTACAAGGGGCATTGTAGAGCACTTGTTCCCCTGGTTCCTGGCAGCCCTCACTTCATTAGGATTTATGGAGCTGTGCCTTACATTACAACACACTTGAGCTGGCTTTAATACCATCACTATCTGCTCAAATGTGGCCCTCATACAGTACATTTAGGTGGGCTTTTGACTTGTAAGAGCAGCCCTACTAGTGCAGTAAGAGCACAGCTAAAAGCTCCTTTTAATTCCAGTCCTACTCTTGAACCGAAGCAGGGATGTAAAATGTGTCCTCCCCGCTTTGATTCAAATGCTCTCTGCTTTACATCCTAATGTCTCCAAGGTATAACAAATGCTTAGAGACACATGAAATAGAAAAACTGTAAATGAAGGCATGTTCAGAATATAGAGCGGTCTGCAGGATAAATACAAAAAACCCTTTGCTTGACAGCTGGTACTAATTTGCTGAATTGTGAAAGCCTATATTAAAATTCCTTGTAAATGCATAGCCTGGATAATTAATTATATCTAGCATTTAATTAAGGACAAATAAAAACTGAGCCCAAAATTTCATATCTTGATGCTGGTAGTGCAGCACACTACAATGTCATGGTAGTTACAGGTGTACAGCTCCTGCATACTGCAAATACTTAAGATGCCAGAAAGAAATTATATTGCATTCAACTTCCATGAAGTGCCCTTGAGAAAGCAGAGAGGTCCAGGACTTAGAGAAATGCTTTAGTTCACTATTACCTCTGCAATCTGATTTAGACAGGTTCAAGTTTTACCTAAGCAAGCACTAAATTTTACAAGTGAGAATTTTTGCTGTGCCACCTCACCCTCCAGGCTGCAAAAGGGCTGAAGTAATTTTAAAATGTCTTTTAGGTTGGGTAGGTCTGGTAACCTGTGATTCTTTAGCTAATTTTAAGAAGCTGACGGTTGCCCTCCTGCCTCCTCTCCCTCTTTGTCCTCTTTCTCCACCGCCCACTCCACCAGCAAACACACAAATACATTTCGTCTGTTATGGTTAGCAAGGGGGCTCTGAACAGCTATTTTTATTCCCCCCAAATCTATAGCTTTTTCCCCTACAAGCCTCCTTCCCCTGATCGCTGCCTGCTCTGTTGTAACGCTCGGTTCGGCAAACTCAAACTCGACCCACTGATTCACTTGCGCGAACCGCGATGGTGCCCTTTCTCCCCGAGACTTTTCCACTTTGCCTCATCTATCCCTGGGAAATAATAAAGAAACACGAGGATGATGGTGATGATGATGATGACGGCTGCATTGCTTTCTCGCAGATCATTTTTACTAAGTTCCTGAAAGCACAGACGTGCAGACTGAAATCTAAATTCATGAAGTTACAGATTGCAAAAGACACTTGCATATATTCAGTGCATTTGCTAGTCACTGAAAATTGTTCCTTATAGCAGTTTATCTCAGGAGTTGTCTGGTACTCTATTACTCATGGAATTCTGAATGAAATTATTTCTAAGAAAAAATAACAAATACCAGGCTTATGTCAGTATTTGTGAAATAAGTTAATCTCCCAGCATCTCCCTCTCTTTCAGCACCTCTCCCCATTTTTTCCTTCTCTTCAAAAAAGTAACAAGTGAAGGCACTGGTAAATGTATCTTCCCAAGTCTTCGCACTCACAACAGTAAAACTATGTCAAACAAATGTTTATTTTTCTTAAATGGTTCTAACAACTGGAGACATATCCTATCTTACAGGACTAGGATTTTTTTAGCTCTACAATGATCTTCAGGAACTGAAGAGTAAATAGTACATGCCTGCTAACTGTCCTGTTCCTGCTAGATAGGGCTGCTGGGCCTGACAGCAGCGGGGTTTTGCTTGTGTTTTTCAAGGCTGATGTCTATAGTATTTATGTATATTTGTGCAAGACAATGTGTCTTCTGGATCATCTGTTTACACAGATATGCAAAGCTGGTGGCAGCATTATTCAGCACTGACACTTTGCAGAGTTATCAGTAAGCACGGCTGCAGCATCTATACATTACAATGAGCACTCCCAGGGCATCATAAAGCCCTGTGGCTATCTCAGAATCTCAGTTTTTGTTTAATAATATGCAGGTATTTTTAGCACTTCTGCCTAAAAGGCACAATGCAGTCCCCACTGAATTTGCAGATTCCCTTGAAACAACAATGGCAAAACATTGGTTCTGCTCTGAATATCAGTAAAGGTTAAAGCTGCCCTCTTGGTCTACCAGCACCACTGGATCAGAACTCCATATGGGTGACAGAACTCGTCAAATAATCACTGTCTACAGCCAGTTTAGAAATATGATGAGTAACATGCATGAACAAGATCTTTAAATAGTGTAAATCTACATAATTTCAGTAAATTCAACTTGTGCCAAATACAAATTCTGCCTTTTGTGTTCACATAGCACTAAGAGAAAAGCATTATTTAAGTAGTAAATGCAAAGAATAACAAAACTGTTTGGCTTTGCTTGTTTCTATCATATATGATATATACTGTACACATACCTGCTGTGCAAGATCTGCATTGCGTATTTCTGTTAATCTGTTATGTATGGGATTGGTAATACTGTGTAGTGTTAATCTTTATGCAAATAAAGGAAAGGTATCCTTAGTATAACTAAATTCCAGGTTGTTGGAAAAACTACATCTGGCAAGACAGGACATTCCAATCGGCTCTTTCATTTCCCTAGTAAGCAACCTTAATTTTATTTATGAGGACACTCAGAGAAAAAAATGCCATGTAAAAGCACAATTCTTCTGGGAATGCACCATACAAGTACAGTTTTCATTATTTTTCAGTAAATGTATATACAAACCCCAAAGCCCAAAACTCACAACATTTTTTTCTCTCAAAAGCAATTGTATTATTTCCAGGTCACAGCTGTGGCTCCCAGGTTCTGACCACGGTTCTGCCACTAGCTTGCTTTCTAGGCATGGGCAACTCATGAATGTGTCTGTTTCCCTATTGAGAAAAATGAGCTTAACAACTGTCTGCTACACAGATGGAATGAAGTATTTGCTCTGCGCTTTGAGATTCCCAACTGAAAAAAATAACATGAGAGCAAAGGATAAAAGAACTACCATTCACATACGCAGTAAACTGTTCTAAACTAGAAAAGGAAAACTTCCTTGGCTTCCAGAGAAAGAGAACCCAAAGACAGGCTAAAGATCCCTTTGACTCTTCCTAGCACTGAATTTTGCCCAATTGGTTCGGAGGATCTCATTTTAGTATTTATAACATCAGTGTAGTTATGTATAAACTGGACATGTAGTTTTGTCTCTTCCCCAGAAAGTGTGTTTCTTTTTTTCAGACATGTGATTCCCAATACGTTAAAGAAGATACCAATGCATAAATGAGTACTTCTCACAACAACATTAAATTTTTAGGAATCAAGATTTAGCTCCTTATGTTTTTAATGAATGCTACTTTAGTATAAATCCAACAATCTGTAAGCTAAACATGTTATCTCAACCAATTCCATTTTTTCCCCTCCAGACGCTTCCGCCGACAAGATGTTCGACATGGAAATGCAGCGCAGCAGTGTTTTGGCCAGCAGTTCATTGGTAATCTACTCACAGCTTTACAAATTGCTAGCAAATGCCTGAAACGGAGAACACAGACTTTGCCAAGAGTATGAGCCAGACCATGATCTCACCTGAGTGTTTTTTTACTGGCATATTCCTAGAATAAGTTACAAGAGTCATGGGGATGAGCCCATGTCATCCAGGTCTGAGAATGACTTTGTTTTGATGGCAGGTCATGTGCATCCTATAGCATTCATGTAGTCCTGCAGCCCTGACATTCAGACTAGGGATGTGGCTAATGCATCTCAAGGGCTTCCAACAGAAATGCAAGTGGAAAGATGGGGCAGGGATAAGAAACCACAGGGCTGCATCCTGACATGAATATGAAATACTGCTGGGACACTCAGCCAGAGGTGGGAATTGAAGGAGCTCCCTAGCACAAACATGGGCAATGACATGTCAGAACACTACTGTGTATTTATGATCATTATCAAGATTTGTCCTAAAAAAAGATTACAGTGTCTAATGCTGTTGTCCAAACCTTGGAAAGTGATGATTTCAAACATTGGTATTGGGAACAGCAAAACAGAAAGAAAACAGATGCCTGGACATCCTCAATATTTTGCAGGATAACAGCCAATACCTTTATAGAAAAAAAAATTGAATAAAAAGGAGATTTTTTAGATAAATAGAAGAGGAAAGATATTTTAGATATTAAATATTACATAGCTATTTGACCAGAGAAAGCTTCATTAAAATTAGAGTCCATTGGAGGACATAGTAAATTTTGGAAAACTATATTCCAGTATGAAACATTGATTCTACAGAGTTTGAAATACAACAGAGAAATCACAATGATATCAAACTCCGTGGGTTTTAGGGTATAAAACTGATTGGTCTCAAGAATATTTCTCACTACTGTGGAATAACATGATTTCATTAATGAGGCAATTGGTCTCCTCCAGTGTAACATCTAGCTTACCTTCGTCCAGATGTTCTGTTGGCTGGAAAAGCAGAATTGAGTTTTGATTATATTGTGGTTTAACCCCAGCCAGCAACTAAGCACC